GGTGTGATACCCAGAACTCTTTTCCTTCTGTGGAAAGGAAATCTATACTAGAAGTTTCTTCTGACTTTTTAGGAGAGTAACCATACTTTTAGGTACGTGGTTTTCTACTATTGTTTTAGGCTTGATATTTTAATTAATTCAAACTCCAAGTTGGAAGGAGCAGCTTGGAGTAGCCAATTATTTTGGATTTCCTTAGGTTTGCTTCCATAATCCTTATCTTGTGTCATACTTAATTATGCTGATAGCATTCTTTTAATTTTGTCTTGGGAAATTCTTAACCTGTCAAAAATAAGGGCTATATAATCCCTAGTATAATTTTATTTAAATATAACCACTAAAAGTAGCATTTCATCAGGCTTCTTTTACTCCAGATTGTAATTAGTGTTCTCTAATGTATTGTTTATGGTTTAATATCAGCTATTGGATACATGACTACAGAATCTATGAAAAAAAAGGAGGTACACTGAATATATAAATGTCAAGCATTAAAGGATGTGTAAAGGTGGATAAGTATATTTATTGCAGCATACATACACTGCTGAAATCCTGAACTGACTACCTGCTCTGTAGAAATCTGATCTACATTTCATTAAGTGAATTGAAAGGCTCCCTTAAGTGATCTTTGGATCAGACCTTTGGTGAAAGTAGGAAATGTTCTTGTGTGCTTCTTTCAGATTTTTCATGCTTTGTGTTGGGAATAGTAATAATATTAATTTGCCAATATGGAGATTTTACAACTAATGAAAAAAACCAGACTTCTATTACTTGGCCTCTATTCAAACATTTCTATCTATTGCATTTGGTATATCTCATGAGTATTGAATTAGTGAATTCCCGAATATAATTAAAAAAAAATAATCACAAGTTAAATGGAAATATGAAGTGTAGCCAAGATTGTCTTAGAGCACTAGAAATGCATTCTGCTCTAAGTTATATCTCATGTAACCCTATGGAATGCATTTGGATTTTGTAATGAAGTGGGGATTTGTGTATATTACAAGTATTGCAGTAATTAATATAGTGCAGTAGTAACTCTCATTAGGAGAGTTAGGAGTGGGTCCAAGTATGCCAGATACTCTAATAGCAAAATAGATAGGTAACATTTTTGGAAGTATTTAGCAGCATAGGAACCCCTATTCCATTTTTTTTTAAATGTAGGCACTTGAAAAACATTATTTTATTGAAAACTCATAATGCATAACATTTTATCTATATCAATAATTTGAAGAATGGAACGATGAGACTTCTTAAAATTTTATCCTGGTTAAAATGTCACAGTTTAAGTATAGAATTTGGAGATTTCCATAGACATAATAATGAAAATACAGTGTAATGCATGTACCCTTAACTCAGCATACCTGCAAAAGCATTCAAGGTAGCTCTGAAACTCAAAGTGTAAATAAGATGACAAAGAAATTGCACGAAATTGTTGTCCAAATGGTATCTTCATTTTTCATGACATTAACCTGATCCTGAGTTTAAAATTTTATGAATTGAGGTAAATGAGGAAAATTGAGGGTAGTAGAGTGAAATAGCAAATCATACATGTAAGAAACAGTGAGTATGGATTTCATTCATTTAATACGGCACAGAAGGTCTCTTATTTTTGACACGCAATTAGTCCTGATCATGTGTTGAGTTAGAACTCGGTGTCTGGAATTCCCAGCGTCTCATCTAAGGCACTTCCCCCTCCCACCCCTGCTTTGTCTTTTTTTCAAGTACAACTACCATCAGAATTATATTTAAATAATATCTTAGCTATTTACAACCTGGGTCAGCACAGTCAGGCTGACAGAAATCTGCAATGTATTTATGACCTAAGGGCTTATGCTTTGCTTTCACAGAAAAACAAATAGACAAATGGACAAAAAAAATATTATGTTTATCTTAGAAATCCGTAGAATTAATCTGTCATTCTTTTCTTATCCCTGAGAAAGTAAAGCTGACATATGTGCTCTCTATATATGCTATATTTTATATATATATATATATATACACATATATATGTGTGTATATGTATTTATAGCATATATATTATATATATGTGCTATATTCTCTCTCTATAATATAGCATGTATATTTTATATATATATATATAATGTTCTATATAGCGTATTCTATATGCTATATAGAATCCTATAGTCCTGCAGCAATGAAAGGGCAAACCAGGTTTTCTGTAAGGTTTTTAAGCCTTGTGAACCCATATACCTTCACTGCACAGTTTTAAAGCTTATATACAAGTGTGGTATTAGCCTTTTTGGATCATCTGGGAATACAAATCACTGTGTCTCAGAAACCCTGCTGGTTTTGAGGTGAGGTTGGTCTTCCTGAAGCTAAGAGGGGAACTGGAATAAAGTTCTGATTCTGAGGTTATCACTGCACTAAAGAAAAGAAGAAAGGCAAAGAGTGAAGTCTGATCACTGCAGTTTGTCTAATGATACTTATGCTACAAGAGGGAGAGAGTATCTGTTTGAATGTGCTGACACATTTTGTCTCTTAGAGTCATTGTGCACCTGTGTCATGTACGTAGTTTCCACATATGTTACAGGGTTTTTTTCTTTCTAGGTATACTCATTATTTTATTTTCCAAATAATTTGCTGAGATGATTAATGAAAACTCTTCTTTTCTGGTATTGGTCATATCTTGCTTATTACAGTAAGAAATATATATGTTTCTCTTTTTTTTCCCAGAGGTGTCTCTTTTTGAGGATGACTGTGTTTAAGGATTGTGGTTGGTTAAACAATGTTTTGTGGTTTGGGCTGTCATAGAGAAGGCAGTTAAATATGCACATACCTTATTATTTTAAGGCAGATATGTCAATAAATCATCTGATGAGTGTTTACCTGTCTTAGTTATTTCTGTGTCTGTTAAATTGGGGGCTGTCAGCAAATGATGAGAAAACATTCTTGATGGTGCTTGGTACAGGCTAACTCAGATGTCACTGGCCATTGGTTGCATAATCTCCTTAACTACAGTCCTAGTCCAAGAAAACTCTTCTTCTTCAGGGCCCCTTTTAGTCTTTTCATGCATATTGTTACTCTTCCTATTTACACAGTAACCATTTTTACCTCATTTTGTCTCTGCTTTTAGACCAGTTCAGATGCACTCAGTGTTTTGAAAACAAACCTTTAAAGGCATTTCCCTTTATTTTCAGGGAGAAGCCATAGTAAATGCCATATGCTTTTAAGCAATCAAAAGGCTTTGTGACTTTGCTTTCTACGTTGTTAATGCAGTTGGTACAGATTCAGTGAGCTTTCATGTGCAGCAAATTCATCATATATTTTTTGTCTCTCAGCACCTGTTAGTCTGATGTGGGCTCTGACTAGCTCTTTGTATTTCCACGGTTACAAATAGTCACAAGGATTCTGTTAACCCCCAAAGGTAGAGTGATTGTGTCTTTTTTTTTCCTATAAGAAGCATAAAATTAACAAATTAGACTATAGATATGAAAAGATTGTTTAAAACATTTCAATAAAAACTTTAAAAGTGAGTTTTTGTTTACTCAAAAAGCATCCGAGTCTTTTACCGCCATTATGACTATGTCACACTTTTTGCAAAAACGAGTTTTTTTCCAAAAACTTGGAGGATCTCTTTTCCTTTCCCTTTTAATTTTGATTGTAATTTACAATAGATTTTGCAGGCAGGGGATTTAGAGCAAACAATTCAGGCTCAGAGCTATCCTGTAATTAAATAATCAGAAATGACCCCTAAGCATTACTCTATGTAGTATTATATGTTTTTAAAGATAGAACAAATGCAGGCAAGAAGCACACTAATTTGCTGAAGAGCACAGATGTAAACACATCCAAATCAGAACTTCAGACCTCAAAAGGCTGTGTTTCTTTCTAACAAAAGACTGAGAGAAAGCCCTTTCTGACTTTCAGATCTCATCTCTGGTCAAAGCCAGGATTCTTCCCAATAAATTAAGTGCAGAGAGTTGCACCTTCTGTGAGTGGATGTGTTAGAGACCCTTAATAGGAGAAAGGCAGCTGGAAGGAGCAGTGTTTTTCTGAGAGGCTGTCTTTAGATAAGATTAAAGCAGTAGCAGCTTTGAGGATTTTTATGTACAATAGACTTACATAGCTGTGATTTGTTTTATGATGAAGAGCTCTGAATCAAGGAGAGGTTTCTCGATCTTCTCTGGGCAGAACAGGCAGTGAGTGGCTGAGGGCAGAGAGGTGAGAGAGAGTGAAAAAGAAACCTGAAGTAATAATAGGAAGAGAATATCTTATCTACTAAAAAAGGTTTTGTACAGTGATAGAAGCATTGTCTGGAATTGCAGAAAGGGACCCTGCTCAAAGGGTGAAACAAAGCTCTGCCAGGGAAGGAGAATGAGACTCTGTTACCACCTATACAGAGTTATTTCTTCAATGCATACAGCAAAAGCACTGGAATGTTCACTACTGAAGTGGTCCGTTCTTTTTCAGGGTTTTCTTTTTAGCTGGAGGTACTACTTTTGCTGAGACACCAAACCAGCAGAGGCACAAGCACCTTCTATGGCAAAATAGCAGGTAACATTATAAAGTAATGAGTTGTTTAATCAGTACAGCCATAGGGGAAAGAAGTATACTAATGGGGAAATGGACCAGAAAGCACCTATCATATACTATCTATTCATTTAAAGGCAGACAAAAGTGATGACATAACAGTCTTTATACTGAAAGTGTATTATGAATATTAATGAATGTTCAGAATCTCAGTGGAGTGCATGAGCATGCTTGTTATATTCAGACCTAATGTATGAGAGAGGATTAATGTTTTATTATACAATGTATCTAAAGACTTCCAAGCAGAAATATAGTCCAAGTACATGTATGAACAATTACTGAGAAATGGAACAAAAAACTCAGGAGTGGTAATTGAGCTGCTGCTCCCCGTTGGTAACTAACTGTTGTAGGCTGCAGCTTGTCAGACAATGTGTGCATGCCCATGATGTTTTAGGTGGCAGCGGTGGTTTCATACACACGGTAAACAATAACTATGCAGAGCAAATGTCATTATCATACTTGCAATCTGACAGTCAGGCCAGGTGTGAGCCCAGGGACTGGGATTCATGGATATAAACCTGACTGACTAAGTTGTGGCAGGGTGCCACAAGTGCCACCAAGCATCTAGAAAGGGAACATAATAGTGGCAAAGAGGGTTTGCTGATGTATTTAACAGCCTATATCAGATCCACCTGTGACTTTAACAGCTTGTTCTGCTGAGTCAAGTGCCAAGAAATGGCGTCTTTTGGAGTTCAGGATTTTCACTTTGCCAGGTTAAAGTTCTTAGGGCTGTGGATGTATTACCTTGCTCCCAAGAAATGTTTGGGCCTTCTTCAACTAAGGGTTATATGGTTCAAGGTTGGTGGCTATTTCTCCCTTCATCATAGAGTTTTCTCTTACTAGTGCATTTACAAAGAGATGAGAATGTTCTCTTACTTTTTCTGTGACTGTATCTTTATTGAAACAGAGCAATTTGGTTCAAATTCTTTGTGAGTATATCTATAAGAGCAGCAGTGCAGGATACTCAGAATGTCCCAGTCTGTAATTGCCCAGGTAACACAGCTGAAACAGGAAAATATTTGGTAGATGCATAATTAGTATGGAATCATTCTGGAATCTAATAAATTGGCATGATAAATTCCAATGATAGCAGAGTATGGATAACCAGTTCTTCTGTCTCCAATATAGAAAAGTTATAGAAAAATCCCTTTGGAATTTCAGTGGGTCTTGGAAATTAATTAATTCTAAACTTACTATAATGAAATGAGAATATCTTAATATTTGACTAAAATATTCTAGTATTTTATAATATATAGTTATATCAGTGTGAAGTGCTTCTAAAAATATTAGTATTGTTCAGTCCTGCATCTGACTTCAGTAGAACTTGAGCAGCTTGTGAATCAATATGCATAAATACCATTTCCCTCTCAGAGCAGTAGTTTTGCTGTTTGCCTGGAAAACATCCTTGACCTCTTTATATGACAAAAAGCATTTTCTAAAAACATTTTCCATCATAGACTATGCCAGCAAAAGTCCTGACAAAGATAAGATGAAGACTGTTTTCTTTAAAAGCAAAGATAGATATTGTCCTTACGGATGGGAGTTTAGAGCTGATCCTTTTCTGGGTTCTTCAGACTTAGAGTTTCTGATTCTACTAACACTTTGGGGTAAGTCTGTCTTTGGCATAATTCCTAACCACACTGTAAATAGGACTATATGAACAGCTGTTTAGTTGTTTATAAGCCTTTTACCTTACCAACATTTCAAATTGTTGTACCATTTGGTCTTTGGTGCCCACAAGAACATTTGTTTGTTCTAACCTGTCCTCACTTTTCCAGCTATTATTGTTTGGAAAGCAAACTTTTGGGGTGTTAGAGGTTTATTTTATCACAAAATCTTATTAAGATTCTGAACTCAGCTGCAACCCTCTGGTCACCATCAAAGGCCAAGGCCCGAAGATGATACCTTTGTAGGGTTGCTTTAAGATGAGCATGAGCAGAAATGAGAAAATTTATTGTTATAGAAAAATTTAAAAACTAAGAGCTTTCTTGTTTTTTCTGCAGCATTTTTACAAGTTTTCATTGGCACTGTTCACTCTACACAAATGTCTTAGAGACACTTGGAGCAAGTTGCTCGAATACCTTAGCAGTGCTTACGCTACAGGTTTACTGAGGCTTCCTTGTTTGCTAAAGCAGATTCTGAGTTTCCCACGACCCAATTATGCAAAGCAATCTGTAATATTCCTTGTTCATGCACTCTGATTCTGGGGGTGAAGGTGAAAAGGCTATCACAGAAGCCATAAGGGAGGGTTTTAACACATTTTGTTAAGGTTTCTGACTCGTGAGGAACATTTTTATGTGTAGATATTTGCACTTTTGAGTAACAAGCCTGGAGTTTGTGAAACATGTACAAGAAGTATCTGAAAGAAAAGGACATGGAAAGGCAGTATCATAGTGCTGGGATTTAAAAAAAATTAAATGAAGTGAAACTCTGCTTTTTGACTCACCTAAGCAGGAGATACTACTTAGATATCTGAGCATGTGATTGTCTCTCAGAACTCTCAGTATCTAAGTGTTTACTGAAGTTACAGAGAGAACCTTTGATCAGAATAAGAGAAAAAATATTTAGCAAGTATAAAATAAAGCACGATGTAAGATCTTTCTACAAACAAAGCAATAGCAAAAACATCATTGAAGTTTATTTTGTTTCGTAAATAAAAATAAAAATATGATTTCATTTCTCTTGTGTTTGGAAAGATGCTTTTCTATCTGTAAGCACTTAACAAGTGATGGATCAGAATACAGAGTGATTGCAATACATGTGTAAACTCCAGCAAATTAGCATATGGTCAGTCTGGCTCTTTTGTTGTTGCTGCACAATAATTTCCTTGTTCTGAGTGTTCACAATGTCTCTTGCACATGTTCAACGGACCAGGAGAGGGCAGAACTACACAGGTGTAGTCACTTACATCTGTTTTGTGTGGTTAAAGGAAAAGAAGTGGAAAATTAACCTATGAAAAGATTTGGTGGTAATTATAGTTTAATGTTCACCTAAAATCAATTACTCAAACATATAGAAACTACTAATGTATGTTTTCTATGTAGGTGTTTCATGGCCGCTGTGCTATCAACAAACACTTCTGAAGGAAAAGCTTTCTGAGTTTTAATAGCACTGCAAGGGGAGCTTGAGCATTTAACTAGATAATTCAGTGTACACTTGAAACAGAGTTAATAATTTTCATTACCGAAGTCTAGTGTGCATCTAGTTTATTTTTGCTTTTTTTTTTTTTTTCTTTTAACTGTAATCTGGTTTCTCAATCAATTATTTTGTTTGGGTTTTTTTGCTTCTTCAGGTTTAGAATACAAGATTCTAAACCAAAGTGCCTATTTTTAATATGTAGTAAAATATTAGCCACATTGTCTGTAAACCAGATGAAAATCAGTGTGTCTCTTGAAAACTCTAATGGAATGGAATGCAACAGTAATTTTTATTTTCTATACAGAGTCTGATTTATAGGGCATCCCCTCAGAGTGAGTTAAATCAATAAATGTACGCCAGGTAAACTCAGCTGTTGATACAGTGTTTTCCTCAGAAATAAGGCTGAGCTTCTTCCCTAACAGTTTGAATCTTGAGTAAAGACAAGGGATGACAGTCACAGAGCAGGTCCTGGGGGAGAGGAGAATGTGGGGGCAAAGGATAACTGGGGTGACAGTGAGCTTCAGTTTGTTTCAATACAGTTTTTGCTTTATTGTTGTGGGGTCTTTCTAGAAATAGGGTCTACTGTTTGTTTTGGGGTTTTTTTCCTGGAAATTCGGTTGAAACACATAAAGAAAAAATGCTAATATTATGCTCCGATAAAAATTATTCATGCTAATGGTAAGTAGCTTCTGCTGTAATAAACCTTATTTTACAATAAATCTGCAAGTATTGGTTCTGAGCCTTTTGGTGGCTGTTTATTTAACAAATGGCAGGAGAGTGCTTAAGCAAGTTCTTGAGATCTATAAAGTAACATAGTTGGTTCAGTATATCCTCAAAATGAAATGGCTAAAATGGTGTCATTGTCTTCACAGTCTGGAGGTAAGTAGGCGGAAGAAATCTGTGGATATTTAAAAAAAATACTAATATTATTCTATGTTGCAGAAGTGCTATTTTAGGAATTATAGTCAACATCGATCTCTGTCTAAACTAAGATAAAATTGCTTTTTGTTTGAAATTGTGGATCAGGAATGCAGTCTTTGATAGGAAATGCATTTTGCAGATCATATGGGTGCTGTCTCAACCCAACAGCTGTCTCTTCCTCAAGCTGGAAGGTAGTTTGATCTACCAGAATCTCTGTCCCAAAAGTGTTGTCAGGTCAAATCCTGTCATCTGGACTTACTGGACCGGTACTGTGTCATCTGTATGAGGAATTTTGACTGCCTTGCTGTTTCACTAGATACCATCTAATAATTTGGAATTATATGAGTGCCATTATTCCTATATATAAAAATATTGCTAGCATTGTGACTTACAACCTTCTAGCAGCAAATTACTTTATCTGAGTTGTGTGACCCCTGCTGTTTAAATTCATGTGATAAACTCATATAGTTGTTTAATATTTTAATACCAACCCCATTACAGAACATTTGTATTTATGAGGTACAAACCCAGCACTTGTCTGATGGGAAACAATTCGGATCTTTAACACATTGCACACAGAATACCCATTTTCCTGTAGAATCTCGGATTCCAGTTGGTCATTGTAAGAGCATTATTATGTGGGAGGACAAATCCTGAAAACCTGAACCGAGTATAAACTGGTGCAATTTGTGTTTCTGCATTGGCAAGCCAAACGTTTCGAAAGAACATCCTCCTCTGGTTCTCAGCATGAGAACTTGGCAACCCAAACCTGACTATTCCTATGCCCACATTCATTTTTTAACAAAAGCATCAAGCTAAAGTTTAAAAGTGCTTCTAATATTAACTCTGTTCTTTGGCAATTTCATCTGTCAAAACTTCCAGCTTCCTGTTTAACATTTTCAATGGGGAGTTGTATTCTGAAGGCCAAAACAGCCCTCTACGGAAATCTGTATGTATGGATCCAGATAAATATAGCATCTTGAGCTAATTTTCAGTTGTTTGAAATGCAAATAAATACAAGCTTTACTTGTCAGTATAAACTTGCTGGATGATTAGGATGAATAGATGAAGCCACGGATGTAATTCTCTGAAAACATTATTTTTAGAGTTGAATCTGATAAATATTTTTAAAGCTTTATCTTCTGTATGCCTAGGACAGTGTTTGCTTTTTTGTGTGTGTGTGTGTGTATTCATTGCAGGGATCTTAACAGTTTTAGATACAATGTGTGTTATTGAACCTTCTTAAGTAAAAAAAAAAAAAAAGCTAAAATTAAGTGAATGCTTATATTTTGGTTGCATTCACTGGATGCTTTTTACACTGGGGTAACATGGTTCCTGTTTTTGTGAAGTGTGTTTGCCTGAAAGAAAGTAAAACACACTGTAACTGGCAATTATGAAAGCTTGCATTTCCCCCCTCAATTAAAATCATGGCTTATTTTGCAAGTCATCTACCTAGTGAAACAATAATCAGATTTACAAAAATGGTGGTTCCATATCATGTATTATATATAGAAAAATATTGAGTAATGATTTCTGCTCAGATTTA